AAAGCATCTGTACAAGTTTGGATCGTCTATGAATATGAAACTAAATATGAAACTTCTTTCTTTTGTGTCAGTTTTCTTTAATATTTTAACATGGTTGCACATCTGGACAGCAGCGATTTCTTCTTTAAATGTGTAAATGTGTTGCATTTTTATAGACCATATTTGAGTAAAGCAATTTGAGTTGTGCAACTATTCATTTTGAACATAGTAAAACATCCATTTAATTCCAAGGAAAAGAAGCAAACACACAAAAGAAACTGGTTTGTATCAGCACTGGCTTTTGAAAGGTTTGGTTGCAGAGTACTCAGTCCTTTCAAGGTTAACATAACCAAGATTTTTTTTGGTTCCTTTTTGTTCGAAGGGATTTAAATAAGTGGAATAATTTACTCATGGAAAAATTATAATATGAAGTGTTTAAAAAATAATTCATGGGCCTTTTAACCCCCTCTTGTCATATTAGTTTTAAACATTCACCTTAAATTGGTGTTAAAAAGCAATAATTAGTAGTCACTGTCCCATAATGATTTTAATAATGAAGTTTACCTGAACCCACTTTCCCTCATCCTTTCCTCATTGGTCTTTTTGTTACTGCATCCTTCTGGTCACCTCCCTTATACATTTTTGTTCTAGTACAATAATACCAAACATGTCATGTTTTTATTCAGATTATCAACATCACTATTAACATTTCCAGTCAAATAATATTTTCCTTGCAAATCATGAAGTGTTTTGTTTTGTTGGATTACAATTAAAAGTCTTGTAATAGTACAAGAGCTCCTCTAAAACCACAAAATATATGGTCTATAGATACCATTTTGTTTAACTTTGGAAATGTATTTTTTAAATGTATAGCCACATATTATATTTTACGTTAACGGCAAATGTTCAGCAAATATTGAATATGAAGAAAGAAATATGCTTTTAAAATAATGTTATCTATTTATTCTCTGGCTGCAATGTATCTGGCATGCTGCATTTGGGGTTGTCTGTGTGTTTTTTTAAATGTCATCTTTATTAGTATTACATTCAAGGAATAGTACCAAGAATCAGTTTCTTTCAAGACCTTCCTCGAGTGTGTGGCATATAAGTCTGTGACGAGCGACATTACAGAAGGTCATGTCACTTTTAACTGCTTGCATTACATCTTTCTGATTTCCCTAGTGCCCTTCCTTTGTTTGATTAATACTACTTGCTTTCAAGCAAGGTATCAGAAAGCATAATTTGGAAAGAGAATTCTAGAGCCGATCTGAGATTCCCCTTAAGAAAAAAAGAGAAAAAACTGAACTTTGTAAATGTATCTTTTCTACTACATGATTTTTCATCACTCTTCATTTTTTCCCCTTCAAGGAAATCCTGCGTATAGTATATGTTGTTAGTTAAATTATTGCTGACAAGTGTTTGGGCAACTGGACTTTGTATACTTGAAAACAAAATGATGTAGTGCTTATTTGGTTTTATTTGAAGAGGAAAGAGCTAGAATTGGATACCAGGACTCCTTTCTTTTGTTTTCCTTAGTTAAGTGTTAAACTCCAGCACTCTCATCCTAAATAGCAGGTGTTATTTGATTTCTCTGGGAAGGGTTGCAATTTTGTGCAGTCATTAAATGCACTTCAGTGATATATACAGTTTGTTTTTAAAAGCTCAGTTTGCAGTTTCGATGTTCATTGCATTTGGCTAGAGCTCTTGTCTTAAAGCACAGCTCAGCTTCTGAGACACTCTTGTCCTCAAAGTCATCCGTTTCACTGGACCATTAAAGCCTGAAAATTAGTTGTGAAAGCATCATCATTTTAATTTGGAATCTTTATCCACACTTCTACCTGTACCCCTCTATGTGTTTCTTACAGTCAGTGAAAACATGAATCAGAATTTTGTGTGTCATTAAGAGCACAGAATATTTTGTCCAGGAAAAAATATTTAATTTCCGAAAATTAATGTTTAAAATATTAACTTGATGCTATTTTTTTTTGATGCTATTTTATTTTTATTAATAGCTAACATTTTTGAGTACTTCCTTTGATACAGGAACTGTATTAAGCACTTTTATGCATTATCTCATTGGATCCTTAACACTGTGAGATAGGTGCTATTATCATCTCCATTTTCTAAGGCACCTTCAGCTTCACCTGAGCAAAATGTAACGATGGGATATGTTCTGAAGCAGCTTAAAGGCATCAATAGGAAACCATCTGTATTATAAATCCTCACTTGTAGATGTTTATGATGTAACTTTAAAAACGCACTGGAGGAGGGGAAGGGCCCTCACTAGAGCGCTAAAACACAGCAAAAAGGCCTCTCACTAACACAACACTTCTCTGCCAAATGTAAAAGCAAATGGTTGTATTGGGTGGTTCTGGCTGCACATTTGTGGAGCAATTGTGCGTAGCCAATTACCCACTTGTGCAGGGTAAGAACAGTTTGGGTTTTGCAAATGAAGAGCCTGATTCTGTAGACCTCTTTGAGTCATACTTGAACAGAAGATCCACAGCTGATTTGTAAAATGTGTAAATTAAGCTACTGGCTTGTTTATGGCTTAATCTTATCTTGAATTTTTGAAAATTAATTTGAAGATAGTGGAGATTCTCCAACCTTAATGGTTAAATATTCATGGATTCTATTCTCAGGCAAATGTTTGAGAGCATTTTGAACATTTGCTTTTATAAATCTGCATCATTGATTAGGTATAAGTCCTTCCAGGTGAACTAAGTCAGTTCTGTGAGATACATGATAGGCACTTTACCCAAAGTGTGTTAAATGATATGAAGAATAGATGATACATTCACTATTCACTCAATCAACAAATATTTTGTGAACACCTATTATGTACCTGACAATCTGCTAGGCACAGCCCACCACCATTCTGCCTTCATAGCACCTGAAATGTGATAGTAAGTACTGCAGAGAAGAGGCATATTATACATTCTTAATTATGAGTAGCTATAATAATGAGTTTATTCACAGCAGCAGTAAAAGTATAGTGTTCATCTCATTTTCCTTGATGTATTTGATATGAATCTGCATGGGTAATTTCAGCAAAAAAAAAAAAAAGTTGCTTCATTTAAATCTAAAAGATAATTTTATCAGAGGTACGAAATAATCATCATTTCAGAAAATCTTACAAGGGTTAGGTGAATTCTTCTGAAGCAACACAATGTACCAATGTAGCTTCTTTTCCATCTTAAACCCCTCACAAATAGCCCAATTTGAATAGCCTGGCATATATCACTTCAACTATATACTGTCACTATTGTGTGTGTATTTGTGACGCAAATACTTTAAATGTAAGGAAATGAAAGGTTAACATGAAAGCTTATCTGATCAACCCTGTTTAAGTTTTACTGGATTATAAGCCATTTGAGGGCTGGTAGGAGTAAAGAGGAAGTTTTGTGGGTTATCTGTGTATTCCCACATTACCTAGCACTATGTGCCTTGGACAAAGGGGTTTATGATGAATGCTATGGAGTAGCTGGATATAGTTAGAGAGACTGTCAAGAGTCCATCTTTCTTGTTGATGCTTCATTGCTTTATATGTCTCCGAAGTAAGTGTAAGCTCTCATCAGATATGCAAAACTGCATATTGCACTACTGTGATTCTTTTGAAATGCTGAATGTCCAAATGAAAGACCTCAAAATTCTACCAATTAGCAGAAGATTGAAAGCACGACATTAAATTAGGAACAGTCTCACAGGTTGTCAGATGCTTTCATTATATATTTGTTCATGAGACCTGGAGGTTTGTGTTTGTGTTATGCTTTTAAATCAGTTAATGCTTTTAGAATATTTGAGAAAAATTATTAGGAATAAGAGTTCTGATATGTTATCTCAGTTTATGGAACTCTTTTCATAATACAGTCTTGGTTATTAAAGTGTTCACCCATAGAATATTCCTGTTGGTATTAAAAAACACACACACACACAGGAAAGGAGGGCTAGGTGTCTCTGTCCTCTAAAGTTATGAGCTTTGGGAGAAAAGTTTTAAAGTATTTGTTAACCATGCTTCTGTTGAGTCTATTCAGAGATACAGGATCAGGAAAAAAAAAAAGGAATTTAAAAACCATATCAAATATCATAAACACAATAAGTTGGGTCTTACTTGAATAACGACACTTCTCCCAAGGTTTTCTAAACTGTAGGTTTCTGTGGCATGCATATGTGTATGTTTGTGAAGTGCGGAAAACCATTTTAAAAAGCCTGAAATGGAGTGAAGTCTCATTCTGAATGGTTATATGTTGATCAAGGCAAAGGGAAGTTATTTGGGAAATCCAAAATGACTATTCCGTTCTGCTGAGGTAGGCTAAATAGCTATTTAAAAATACATATATGCATATCCAACTACGTGGGTTATACACACACTATACACATGTAATTATATATTTTAATTTTCATTTTATAATATGCATTCTCATAATCTTGTGTAAAATCACAGAGAATTAAAATGAGAGTTTTGGGTAATCCACAAAATCAAAAAGTAAGAGAGGCAAGACTTGACATTTATACATAAGAATTAAAATTTGAGCCATAAAAATATATTGTTAGTTTTATGCCATAGACCACCAGCATGAATCAATTAACAGACATGGTTTTTTAATCGTAGAATTTGGTGAAAAGTAAATTAGAAATAGCAGAGCTGTTTCATGCCTAGTTATCTAGTTCTAAATCTCAAGTACCTGATTAATACAGACAGCAGAATCGGTAGAAGGGAAATTTCCTGATTTAAAGCATCCTCCAAATTAATGTTGGTTTACCTTATGCATATTTCAAATTCTTGAGGTTGTCACAAAACATTTCACATGAATCCAGGTCCCCTAACTGGGATTCGGTTCCCTGGTTTTAATCAATGAAAGGCAGAGCGTTTTCCTAATCACTATCTCTAGGTTGAATATCCCTTCTCAGTGTGCCCGTTTCAAATGTTAATAAAGTTTTCATTTCCAAAAGGTTCAAAATGACAGAACAAAATTCTCTCCTTTAAGAGCACAGAAAATGACTTCTGTTTCTGTCTGCAGGTAGTGGAGGACATGCTAGAGGACGAGGAAGAAGAAGATGACAAAGATGACAAGGTAATTATCTTTCCCAGCACTTGGGTACCTGGGGATGGGGAAATGTAGACATGACACTGTTTTCACAGACAGTTAAAAAAGGAGTTGAAGTGTTTGAGTCCAGAAAATTGGACAGTGCTGTTTATCATCCTAACAATGCCACTGCATGTTGCAAAGAGGGAGAGAAGGCTATAAATCCTCTTCGCTTTTGTCCAGAGCTGGGTCAAATATTTTTCTGCCAGGAACAAAAAAAAATAATTCAGCTTGTCTGGAACTTGATAGCTCTCATGAAGATAACAGCAGTGACGACTGTTGTTGAAGGGCAAAAATTTGTCCTATCTTGAGTATTACAAATCGAGCCATGCTTTGGGGGAACCGGGGAGTGAAAACATAGCCTGCATGAGTTGAACATGGATATTGTCATCTGTAATTTTTGAACAATTGCTCAGCAAAAGGACATGAATGTGCAGAGTGCTCCAGAGGACATTTAAATAACCCCAGTGCTCATTGCCCTTGCTGAGGTTTGGAATGGCCACGTGGTTTCTCCATCAGGAAAGCCCGTTCAGAGAGGCTTATATTCAATCGCTGGTTGATTTGGGGATGGTGACCACAGTAAATAACAGCCAGTTTCTGGGACTGCTTGGATTGGTTGTCCCCGAGGGAGAGGGGACAACAAGAGGTAGGAATTAGAATGATCTTGCACCACTGCAGCAGTGGCTGGGGTTGGAACTACCGTTTTCTATGGCAAGGAGGATAGTGATGCTGTTACATTATCATCTCTGGGCATTTCCAGACCTAAAATCTAAAAAGTCCTAGGTTGAGATCGAGAGGCAGAGGACAAAAAATCGTTCGTGATTTCCACATTGTTTGGCATGTAAAACCAGATTTTTGACCTTCATCAGAATCTGATTTATGTTGTGGTAAAGCAGTGAATTTTTTTTTTTTGAAGAAAGGAGGAAAACAGTATATTTTAATTTATGCCCTTGACCTTTGATTCCAGTAAAGATGTACAGTTACATCCCAATGTAAGAATTTGTGTGCCACTGAAGGCCGTGTCTCCAAAAATAAAATAATTTGTGTGTTGGAAGCATGCATGAGAAATGTCAAAAAATTCAGTGATTCGTTAACTCTCCACATGATTTTTTTCCTAATATTCAATGCTTGAAGGAAAACACACACACACACACACACACACACACACACACACTTTCTCCCTTCTAACACTATTTCAAACATTTTTAAATCGACAGAGTTTTTATGTGAAATTTTTCTTCTGTACATCATTTAGTCATTAGCAAAATCATCAAACATAAACTAACAAAATCTCCTTCCTGCAAAAACACATATGTGCTTGTTTTTAATGTTAAATAACATGAGCATACACTTCTGGCAGTAAATGATATGATTTATTGCTAAGGTCAGTTGTAGAGCTGTAGAGTGCTTGTATTTTAACTCAACATGCCAGCTCTGAATCATCATTTCTCTGCTGATAAACACTGAGCTGCCATCCATTTATGGCCATTTTCTCTTGCTTGTTGCTGCTTTATTATTAAAGCCACCATAAAGATCCATCCCAGCAGCAGGCGTTTCCCCAGAAATGTTAATAAATGGAAACCCTTAGTGAAGTCTAGTACTTAATGTCCCTGCTTGAAGTCAACCTATGTTTTTAGTCAGTTTGTTGATGTTCTGTACTTCTAATCTCTCCCCTTTTTATGGGCATTTTTAATGGAGAAGATGTTAAGTATGGGAAGTAGACACACCTGGTTAACCAGCTCACCAAAACATAGATGTCAAGTGGAACATGCCCGGGGGAAACAACACCAAATCTCTGGGGTAACATCTATTGTAATCTAGTATTTGGTAGTCTGAAATTGACACCCTGCTTCTAACACATTTTCAGATCTAGTTACCAAAGTTGATTGAAAGTGAGTGCTTAAATTACAGTGTGAATTCAACTGTATTCTTCTGTACAGGATGCTGACAAGCAGTGTGTTTTCCGTGTGAAAGGATTGTGAGCTGATTTTCATAAATCCAACCCTTTTATCCGAGCGATAAAGGGGGTTTTTCTTTTTTACGCATAATGCAATTGATAGCATAAAAATCATATCTGAATAAAATCTCAAATGTAATAATTTACAATAGACTTTTAAGTGCTTGAATAATAGAGGGAAGAATCTTGTGGACGTCTTGAAATATAGTTTTTCCTATAAGAAATGGAAATATGAAAGGATCCTGCAAGGTTCCATCTTCCATCTCGACTGGCTCTCACAGCGGTAAATGTTAAGCCTTGGCTATCAGTGCGTCTGAGTGGAAGAAGGGTAATTTCCTACTTTGAAAAATTCGTTGGTTCCTTTATTTAAAGTTTGTGTATAGAGTCATGGGTAATGGAATTTCATGAGAAAACAAATGTGTTCTTTGCCATACGAGCAGGTACTGACCTCTAGCTCTCATTATTTCTGTTTTCTCATATGGTATAATAGTAGGGTCAGGTCAGTGGGTCCTCTTATAGGATAAAAGTAAAAAAGATTAATAAATGTGCCAAAGCCTCACTTTAATTGAACCTGAAGCATATGTTGGAAGTATGTAAAATATGTCCCAGATGTTTCACCAGGGCCAGTGTCTTGGCTTTCCCTGATTACCACAAGGCAGCTATTAGTCCTATAACCTTTGGACTTGGGGGTAAATGGGGTATTACATGGCACAGAATGAGAGCACCTGTTTTCCATTCCGCCAAGACCCCTGGCAGGCTTTCCCTAAGCCTATCCACATGTTTTCACTTAGCAGATTGTTGGGCGATTATGAAAAGTGTCTTTCTTTAGAGCCAGCATTGATATTAGTCACTCACAATGAAAGGGCAAGTCATTGGCTACTTGACAAGGTCCGTGTGGGCATAAACTGAAATCTTTTATTTCATTTGCGCTGAGGGTGTTTTCCCTTTGCATAATTATATACATGACAAAGACACAGGTATATGAAGCTGAAGCAGACAAAATTGTAATTAACATAATAGCTTTGTAATAGCTTTTCTTTCGTACTGACTGTAGCACCAGGGAAGACTTTGGTTAAAGTTGGTAAAAGCTAAATCATGATTTACCTGGATTCCCAGATTTTGAAGTTTTTCCAGATTATAGCTTTAAAATATATATATAATGTTGTTTCTTATTAAAAGAGCTAACCATCATTCAGGTGAGGGTTTGTGATCCACAGACTTACCCTTCATTCTCAAACCCATTGCTCACATTTGCTTAAATCTAAAATTAGGTGGCTTCTCTTTTAATCCAATTCCATGGTTTTCACAAAGGCAGAGAATACAGGTTTTACATGGTGAGTCTTAGTAATGAATCATTGACTTGTTAATATTTTCACTTATCTGCATTATGTAGTAGCACTCTGTTAAGCCGTGCTGGAGATGACATTTTTCCTGAATTAAATGTTAGACATCATACTGCGTTCTCAATTCCCTTTGTTGTACAGCATTCTCTGAACCATCAACCACAAAGTCACAGTTTGATCTGATTTTTTGACCTGACACCAAATCCTGCCTTTGTGGTTAATAGAATATCTTAGCAAATAAGGCTTAGCTAAATTACCTAGGTGGAGCTATCAACAAGCCATATAATAGTGTTTTTCACCATGTTATAGATAATAATACAGTGGTCAGTCTGTATAATCTAGACATCTAATTAATGAAGATCAGCTTTCCTTTTGTAGTTTAAAAAGTTTAGGCATGCTTCCCATGGTGCATCCTACCCTTGTAATAAGATCCAGCTGCGATATCAGGAAGCAGAAGATAAAATGCAGGTTTTCCTCAGAAAAAGCATGGATTCAAATGCATGGCATTCTAGTAATGTTTATTGATAAAAGATATTAAAATATTCAGCCATTTATGCTTACATTGCTTCTTTTTCTTCAGCCATTATGTCAAGGTTACTGTGTTTCAAGAGAACTAAATGTAACAAATAAAACATACCTGAGTTAGTTCAAAATAAACAGATTCTTTTAATTCTTGAACTCTGTGTTTTCTGGTTCGATTCTCCAGCCCTAAAACATGTATATAACATACCCAAGATTTGGGCATCTCTGGCATCTCAAATGAACTATGAGGGGTTAGGGGAATGATATGTGATGTGATATGAGAGAAGATTTTAATCCAACAAAATGGCATTTTCTAGTTATATTCAATGAAATAACGGCACAGTGGGGAAAAAGATTAAGGCTTTGGAGAAAGGCAAGAAGAAAGGAGGCACAAGGAAAACACTTCCTTTTAAAATTTTCAAGCCACATTTAACTGGAATAGCATTGTTTTCATTTATTTGTTTGCTATTGCTGCATAACAAATTGCCACCCATGTAGAGGCTCAAAACAACACTCACTTTTTAGCTCTCGGTTCAGTAGATCAGAAGTCCAGCACAGCTCAGTTGGGTTCTCTGCTCAGGGTGTCATGTTCAAGGTATCAGTCAGACTGAGTTTTCACCTGAAGGCTTTGGAGAAGAATTCATGTCCAAACTCATTCAGGGTATTGATAGAATTCAGTTTTTTATAATTGGAGGACTGAGGTCCTTGTTTTCTTGGTGGCTATCTGATACTAGTTGCCATTTTCCATGGCTTCCTCCATCTTTAAATCTATCAATGGAGAATCTGTTGGGTTGAGTCTCTCCATACTTCAAATCTCTTCAGGAAGAGACAAGTTCTTTTTAAGGCCTCACCTGATTAGGCCAGGCCCATCAAAGATAATCTGTTTTTCTTAAAGGCAATTGTGCCATAGAACGTAACCTAGTCACGGGACCACATATTTCATCTGATATGATTTGGCTGTGTCCCTACACAAATAATGTCTTGAATTGTAGCTCCCATATTTCTCATGTGTCATGGGAGGGACCTGGTGGAAGGTAATTGAGTCATGGGGTGGATCTTTCCTGTGCTGTTCTCATGATAGTGAATAAGTCTCATGAGATCTGATAGTTTATAAGGGAGTGTTCCCCTGCACACACTTGCTCTTGCCTGCCACCATGTAAGATGTG